ATCTCTCTCACCACAACTGGCTAGTTTATATTCTGAATCTGCATGTTTGCCTGACTTTGTTATTTCTCAATTAAACCTCAAAGTGAAACAACTTCTTAGTCAGCTGTTACTGATACGAAGTGATTCTGTTACTGTTGTGTAAATTAGCCAGAGACTTGTCATTAAGGCAGTTGTGGTGGTCTACTTGTGGGAGTATTGATTCCCTTTTTGCTTTTAACAGTAAATTCTCCTGTGGGTTAATTAATTTATCTTGTACAGTGACAGTGGAGTGTCATGCAGACTGGAAACTTGGCTGAAGCAGGTGGGACCTCTTCTCAGATAGTGGCAAATCACCTGGTGACTTGGCCCGGTTCTGAATCGAGTGTGAAGACCCTGCGGTCTGTGCTGGTATCCGTTCACCCAGCAGCATTCTCATGGGACAGCTCGCCTGCCTCCATGCCCTAGACTTGTTTTGGCTTTCCTTGCCTTTTCCATGGGTTTGTTTTGATGGTAGTGTAATAGGAAGCATCTGGGATGAGGCTTTAACTAGTTTCTGCCTCTGGTCAGTGTGTGGATAGCAGCTTTGGATAACTCCCCTCAAATATTGCTCTAGTACTTTCTGGTGGAGCGCCAGTCCTGGAGACACACATTTGAGACGTCTGTAGGCCCTTTCCAGGCCTTTGATCCTGAGCCCTTAAGCAATGCTTCCTTGGTAGGTATGCGTGTTTGGGGGTGCAATGCTACAAATGTGCTGCCTGGGTTTGCTGATAGGATCTCCAGTCGCAAGCATTACAATGGTGAGTAGTCAGAGACTGACTACATTGCCAAGAAAGTCCTGCATCATCCTGGATATGGAAAAGAGGACCAAAGAGAGAGTGGAGATGGGAAAGTAAGTGACAGGGCACTGCTTGGAGAGGGCGTCCGCAGTGTGCACTGGGTGACCTGGCTTCTCTGGCAGTGGGAAGGGTAGAGTCGCTGTCTTTACTTTGAGGCTGACTAAGCCAAGACTGCTTACATGACAAACATGTTGCTACTGCACTGTCACTTTTGAACAGTAGGTATGTTTGTGGAAGGTCTACTTTTCTTTACAAACACAAGTGCTGAACACTGTTCCTTCTCACCTCAAGTTAAACAGATGGAACCAGGAAGCCTTGGTGGTCAGTGATGCCAGAAGGCAAGACTAACACTCAAGTAGTATAAACACAGCTTGAACATCGCCAGAGGCAGTAGGGAATGTGCGTGTTACGGCATGTCGGCATGCTGCCTTGGACATAGGTGTACTGTTTTCCCTAACCGAAAACATTTTAAATAGAGCTGCCTGGAAAGGTTGTGTAAATGCCCTTAATAGCATAGTGTACATACTTAGGCAAAGTTCAGGTGTTTATCTCTAGTAAGTTTGGTATTTATATGATTGTCCTCCTGCCTTTATGAATCAACCTATGGACCAGAGTATCAATGAACTGAACTGCTACAGAAATGGTGGGGAACTTGGTGTAAGATGCTGACAACAAATCTTCTAACAAAAATAGTGGCCGGGCGGTGGTGGTGCTCGCCTTTAATCCCAGCACTCGGGAGGCAGAGGCAGGCGGATCTCTGTGAGTTCGAGGCTGGGCTGGACCGACAGCCTCCAAAACAATACAGAGAAACCCTGTCTCATAAAAACCAAACAAAAAAATAGTGAAGTGTTTATTTCTCGTGCCTCACCTGTATTAAAGGGGTTGGAGAACAAATAAACAAACGAACAAAACAGATTTCTGTCCCAATCAGCACAGTCTCTTGGGATTGTTTGTGGAGGCCTTCTTGCTCCTCCACCTCCGTGCCCAGCTGCTGGGCATCCCATTTCCCGAGGGCCATGCTTACTGTCTGCAGCCTGTCCTCCCAGGCTCCACTGTAAATAGGAAGGGTGTCTGAGCTAACCTTCTCTGAGCATCTGCCCTCTTTCCTTCTCTCTACATTTACTTATTGACTTACGGTGTGTGTGGGGGGTGCAGGGATGCCATAGCACACTGATGGAGGCCAGAGGACAATGTGCAGGAGTTGGTTCTCTCCTTCTACCACGTGGGTCTCAGGCATTGAACTGCGGTGGTTTGGCTGAGTCATCTCACAGGCAGGTAGGATTTTTCACTTTCTCCCAACATGCTCACCGTGGAGCCACTGCAGTCTTTACATAGTGTATGGAACAAAACAGTAAGCACTGTGCCTAAGCCCTGGACTCAGTTCTGCGCTCTGGCCCCGGCTTAGCCGTCATGCCTTACCTTATTTCCACCTTCTCACCCAGCCTACTTCATTCAGAGGCCCAGCCTCAGCCTTCTTGCTTCAGGCTCACCGCCCTTCTCTGCCCAGAAGTTCTTCATGAAGCTTTGAGTTCAACTCAACGTCTCTTGGAATCTTCTCCACCTTCTGCATCTCAGCCCAGCTTCTGGGCTCTGGCACAAGCGTTCTATTTCAACAGAGGAAGCATTAGGGTCATGGAGTCATCTGTCATCACACACTGGTCCAGAGGAAGCACTGTTCTAGAGTCATGGAGACATCTGTTATCACACACTGGGCCAGAGGAAGCACTGTTCTAGGGTCATGGAGACATGGCTGTTATCACACTCTGGTATGACTGGTTGTTATTTCAGTCCTGGTTCTGCCATGTGTCTCTGGAGACATCATCATTCGAGAGGACAACCTGCTGGTTCCATAAGATGATCGCTCCTGCATTTAGGGAGGGGCACTCCAGTGCCCTTTAGGGGGTAATTACTGTCACATGAGAGGTAACCCCCACATGAGTGATTTGTCTGTGGGGCTCTGTTGTTCTTGGGATCCAAGATGATTGAAGGATTAGAACATGACTGGAGATCTCCAGATGCCTTGGGAGCTGGAGCACGGTATTATGGAAGTTGATAGTAAGATGCCTTAGTTGTCCTTATCTTTGTGCCTTCATTTTTCAAGGGGATAAGGTAGGTTAGGTATGACTGGTTCTTAGCCAGAACTCTGTAAGTGATTAACATGCCTATGTGTAGAGCAGGCAGGAATCTAGTTCCAAGCAAAGGACACAGACTGAGATGAAGGCCAAGCTGCCACCCTACTTTAAGTTACTTAAGGTCCCCTGTGGGGAGGTTGGTGCACTTTAGCTTTCCATGGAGAAGTGCTCAGCTGTGTTATTATACTGTCCACATCTTTTCTATCTGTGTTATGGCCTCCAAGATTGAGTGGCAGAGAGAACTCAGACTGGGGACCACTCTGTACTTCAAAGATACTGCTGTGGTCTGAGTTGAGTCAGGTGACTCTGGGGTGAATTTCCTCACGTGTACGAGGACAAATGTCCCAGATGATGGCTGTACTGACCGATTGTTTCTAAGAGTGGACTTGCAGGCCACTGTGGGAGGGGATGAGTAAGGCCCTTCTACAGCTCCTGCACAGTCAAATGAGCAGGCTGTTTCTTGCTCTCCCTCTAAGCACCAGGCCCCAGGCACACCCCACCCCCTTCTCCTATCTTGAGTTGCAAGGCTACCAGATTCTGTATTGTGGCCTGCTGAAAAACAGAGCACTATCCCTAGACAAGAAGGAAGGAAAGACATACACACTCCCCTACAGAGCTGCACCCTGCCCCTAGTCTGGTAATTTCCGGGAGATGTTTGGTTCTGTCTGAGCTATGCCTACTTCAGTTCACGCAACAGTCATTGAGCTATAGGGGAGAACCAGTCCTTGTCTAGAAGCAACACACTTTCCAGCAACATAGCTCCAAAAGGTCTTGGGTATCCTCAAAGCATGCTCGTTGGACATATGTATCTTTGGATGGCACAGAGGTAGAGAAAATTAGAAATGCAGATTCCTCAGCCCCACAACCCTCTGAATCAATATGTTGAGACAAGCCAGGGAACATTTTGAATATCTCCAGGTGACTTACATCTGAGGCCAAGTGCTCATTCAAAAACTTGCAACCAAGAGCTGGAAAATCAACAAACTGCTGCTCCAGGGTGCTGCTCCTGCAGGTACTGGCTAAATTCAGCACCACCCTGGGTAGTGAGCAAAATTATTGGCATGCTCCCAGCAAAACTGCAGTAAGATCATGAGGAGACCGGGAAAGTGGCTGGGCTTTGAAAGTGCATCCAACGTGGATTACCTGAGCTTAGCTCAAATTCCTGGGCTTTTGTGTCAGAGTCGCAGCATTGTGGAGAAATTCACAGAAGTCACTGGAATGCAGGACTGCAAGGCTTAGCGGTTGAGGATGTATTTGCCCTCATAGCTGAGCCATCATAGAGAATTAGAGGTACCCAATAAAGCAGAGCTTTGCATGTTAAGTCCCAGATTCCTCTGCTGTCTAGTTGGGTGATCTCATTTGTGCCTTAGCCCTTGTGTTAAGTACACCAAGACCAAGGCGGTTCATAGAATAAAGGGCTCATTGTAGCTTATGGTTCCAGAGGGCAGGAGTCCATAATGGTTAGTCTGGGGTCCCCAAGTCTTCCACATTCCTTTAGGAAACATGGTCAGGGTCTTTACAGCCACAGTACACTCCTTGGCACCAACTTCTGTGTTAGTTCCTTTCCTGCTGTTGTGATAAACACCATGGCCATAGAAAACACTAACGGGGGAAAAGGTTTGTTTCCACATTGCAGTCGTTCGTTGGTTCTCAAGCAGGAACCACTGAGGGATGTTGCTCACTGGCTCGCTCTCATGAATTGGCCAACCTGCTTTCTTGTAGCATCCAGGACCACCAGCCCAGGGTTGGCACTGCCCACAGTGAGCTGGGCCGTCCCACATCAATCATCAACCAAGAAAATGCCCCACAGGCCCATCTGGTGGGGGGGGGTCTCAATAGCGTCAATTGCTCTTCCCAAGTCAGTCTACCTTGCGTCAAATCGACCTAAAACTGGCCAGCACACACATTGCATGCTGTATTGAAATCGTGTGTTTGTTCACTTGGGCCAACAGCATCCATGTTTCTTCCCCTGGGGAACTGGATGGGCAGCTCCATGCTTCCCTTTGCTCTGTGGTGGCGGGTGCTCACCCTGACCCCTGCTCTCTCTTTCCAGTTCCTGGCCCAGCTGATGATGTTCCTGATCAGCTTCATAAGCTCAGTGTTCTGCGGCCATCTGGGCAAGCTGGAGCTGGACGCAGTTACGCTGGCAATCGCGGTAGGTGTAAGATTTCAGCAAAGGCTCACAGAGCTGTCTGCTGTGTGTCTCCTGCTGCTGTGACAAATGACCATAGCCCAGCCGCTTAATAATGCTGTATGTTTCCTTACAGTGCTGGAGGTCAGGCGTCTGAAACAGGTGTCACTGGGCTAGAGTCAGGGTGCCAGCGGGGCTGCAACCTTAGGAATTATCCTTTTTAGGGCCATCTTGCAGGTCTAGTGAGTTAGATGAAGCCATCTTTGGAAGGCATTATCCCAGTTACCGTATACTCTGGTATATGATCCCTGGAGCTCAAAGTTTGAATGTGAGAAAAGGGAATGTGACATAGGTGCCTTGAAGTTTGCCGAACTCAGGAGGTGCTGTTTTACCTATGCACCAGCATTTCCAATACAAATGAAAGTCCTAATCCAGAAATGGAATGGGAGGGTAGGATTTAGATCCAAACCAGCCTCCAAATCTGAAATTGGGAGGAGCCCCAAATTCTCTTTTCAGTGTATGCAGTCTCTAACGACAAGGTGATATGCCACCTGTCTCTGCTAGAAATTGGTAACTGGCTGTGTAAGATCAAGAGTTCCATCAACTTATTTGGTTTCCTTAGTCATGTGTTTCTTTAAACATGGACTCTGGCTCTTTTGCAGGTTATATTCCTGTTCTCCGTATCCCCCTTCTTGTCCTGCCCTATCTCTGCTTGCCTTGTCTCTAGGCAAACCCTCTACCATTGAGCAATATCACAATTCCTTATTTGAAAATCTGAGGCAATATGGAAGTATACGCAGGTGAGCCTCAGGCAGGTTTCTATTGGCTTGATTGAGGTCTTGTGACAAGCCAACCCTTTCAGCAGGCTGAGCTCAGCTATTGACCGGTTGAACCTTGGCTACAGATTCAGTGAGACAGCAGCCTGAGGCCCCTTTGATGTGAGTTCCTGATTCTAGTGGAGGCAAGTGTGCCTGTAAAAAAGTCCCCAGCAAGCACTGGCTTTGACTATGCATTTACTTCTGCTTCCTGTGAATCAGGGGCTTGACCCAGGCCATACTGGAGAAAGGAACCTCGTCTGAAATGCGGATGGAAATGTCTCAAATTCCTGTGTGCATCTCAGACTATTTGCTCACTTTAACCAGTTGAACATACCTAGTCTGAAACTCCAAAATCCAAACTGCTCCCAAATCTGAGACCTATGCTTTGTCATACTGGTGCTAAAGTTTCAGATTTCTGAACATTCTAGACTGTGGAATTTTGGATTGGAGATGCTCAGCTGGTCCTAGTCTCAGGTGAGTAGGCTCACCCCAAACTGCTGCTGTGTCACACCGTGTTACTTTAGGAGCTGCTCTGAAATCAGAGCGCAAAACAGCTAAGTCTTCAAAAAGGCTGTGCTATTATCTCTGGCCCGGGATTTTGGTGTTGCACCTGACCCAAGTGATCTGAGCATGTGCTCTAGGAGGAGGTCAGTCCACACCATGGTTCTGATCTACAGGAACAGAGAATGGGCCTCCTTTAACTCATTCTCTGTTCTCTTCCAGGTTATCAATGTCACTGGCATTTCAGTGGGGCATGGCTTGTCTTCCGCCTGTGACACCCTCATCTCCCAGGTAAAAGGAAGTGCCCGTTCTCAGTGACTCCACACATGTTTCTTTGGTGTAGATGGAGGAGCTCACTCAAGAGGAAGAGTCATGTGCACACACAGATAGGGAACTCAGAGCAGCAAGCCCCTGCCACCCTTTGTCAGCCACAGACTCTGATTTTCCCTGCCACCGTCTTTGAAGTGTGGCTAGGGTTCTTTCAGCTCTAGCAAAAAAGTGTTGTTCTGCATGTCTGCCTTTGATCAAACAGGGGGCCTGTGTAAAAGCCCCTCCTATAACTTTCATGTTGGAGTTTGGTGTGGTCCTGGGCATCCATAACTGAGTCTGCATCAGGGCTATCTGAAGGGTTTGCCAGAGTTCAGGTTCCTGGGCCCCACCCAGGGCTGTGGGTGAGTGTTCAGCATCCTCCAGGAGCGTGGTATTCCAGCTTGCATGTGATGCTCTTTGACCGTGATAGGTTACATCTGGATAGATGCACCATAAATGGAACATACCCTAAGATGAAAATGCATCAAATCCCCCTCACCTAGTGGATATCCCAGCTCAGCAGCGTGGAACACAGCTTGGTCCCCCGTGATTCATAACTGAGTGAGAGCTGTGGCTCCTGTGCTGCCCAGCACTGAGTGAGAGGGTCACACCCCATATCACTAGCCCCGGGAAGGATCTAAAGTAAAACTTCAAGCCTGGTTTCTACCATGGGTGCATTTCTTTTGCACCAACTTGGAGTTGAAAAGTTAAGCCAGTCCATCTTAAGCAGAGGGCCATTGGTACTTGGTATTCTCACTGGTGTGTGTTCCCCTTTATATCTGGTCTGAAGTTTCCACATCGGTTTTACTGGACAGAAAGCTGAGAGACACCGGCACGCTCTGGCTTCTGTAAGTTGGTAGGAGCTGGTGCCCCATGCTGCGGGTCTTTGGCCCAGTTCCTGCTTTAGTAGGTCTGGAGTCAGGCCCAACTATCTGCGTTTCTAACAAGCTTCCAGGCGATGCAAACCTGACAGCATGCTAGAACTGAATGGGACCTTTGACATGTCATTGTTACTTGGGTCCTATGTAGTGTATTTTTGTGATGGTGGGCAGTGCAGCCAGCCCAGCTCTCAATCAGTCACACCATCTTTCCCTAGAGAGAACGGCCAAGCCACCTGCTCTCCTTAAGAGGCATGACTGAAGGCTTCTGAAGGACAGGTGGGGTGTGCTGCTTCTGTTTAATGTGTTTGTTTGCCTGTGCTCCCCAGACATTCGGGAGCCAGAACTTGAAGCACGTGGGGGTTATCCTGCAGAGGGGGATACTCATCCTGCTCCTCTGCTGTTTTCCCTGCTGGGCACTCTTCATCAACACTGAGCACATTCTGCTGCTCTTCAGGCAGGACCCGGATGTATCCAGGTAAGGCAAGGTTGGGGGCAGGGCATCCATCTTTGTAGAAAGATCATCCATACTCAGCCTCTGGGTGACAGAGACCAGGGAAATCACACCAAGATGAGCTCAAGCTGCTTGGCTGGTCCTTCCCAGGCACTGATACCTTCCCTATCTGACTTGTGAGACCTGGATTTCCTCTCATTACTGGCTTCCAGGGTTGAGATTTGGAGTGGAATTGCATTCACGAACATCTTCCCATTGGGATGGCAGTCTGTGGCTTGTTAATACTTAGTGATTTCTGACCACAGTTGGTATTAAAATCACCGTGGTACTATAGATAATTTTCTAGGTCTCATACACCTAAGTCCTTAACTGGCACAGGTGAGGCCTAGACATCAATAACTTTCAAATCTTCCATGCATGAGCTACCATGTTTGAGACCCACTGACTTAACTGACTGAAACATTTGAAAAGCACTTGCCACAAACCAGTAGTTCTGAACCCACAGGCATTTGACAATAGCTGAAGACATGCCTGGATATCTCATTGGGTAGGGGGACTTGGGAAATAGGAAGGCTGAGAGACAGCTTGTGGTGTCTCCTGTAGCTCCTGTAGCCAGTGTGAGGCTTAGAATCCCTGCCCTAGACCTTTAGATGGGAAGAAGTGGGAAGGTGAACCAGGATGCAAGGTGGTAGATTTTGTTTGGTTTTCCATTTGCTCTGACTGCTGAAGTCCATTTATTTAAGAAGCTTGTTAGAAATGCAGCAGTGTCCTGCCTCTTCTGGGGAGAGGTGGCCTCTGTCGTCATTTTCACTATTTTCTATTGTGTAGGCTCACCCAGACCTACGTCATGATCTTCATCCCAGCGCTTCCTGTGAGTTTTCAAGGGGTCAGAGACTCCATTATTGGGTTCTTGGGTGAAAAGTGGCTTGGATGTCATGAGCTCAGTCTGACGTAATTCTCACACATGACATTGGCTCATCACAGAAGTATGCTTTTAATTATGTCCCTTACAGACATACCAGCATTTGTCTCACAAACAACACAAGAAACTCTAGGGTGGTAGTCACTGCCTTGACTTCTATCCCTGGTGTATCCTTGGGGTATCCAACAGAAGAGTCCAGAATGTGTTTTTAAGGGGTAAAGTTTTGTCCATCTCAGATCCCCCCAGAGTATTACTTTGACCTTTAGATAGTTGTGTGTTAATGTTTAATAACAAGTTGTAGGTAGTCAATGAACTGCCAAAGCCAAGTTTATTCAATTGGACAGAGGGCTGGATGTTTTCTGGGACTGCCCTGTGGCTGGGGGCTTAAACTTCCTCACAGTTCTGAAGGCTAGAAGTCCAAGATCATGGTGTGGCTCTCAGTGGTTTCCCTGTGACACCTATCCTTGGCTTGCAGGTGTCCCTTTTTGTTCCCATATAACATGATTGTCTCTTCTTATAAACATACCAGTTGAGACTGGAAAGATGGCTCGGCAGTTAAGAGCACTGGCTGCTCTTCCAGAGGGTCTGGCTTTGATTCCCAGCACCCACAACTGTCTGTAACTCCAATGTCAGGGGGGATCTGACACCTTCATAAGGACATACACACAAAAGCACCAATGCATATAGAATAAGAATAAATAAATCATTAAAACTGTTATAAGCATACCAGCCCTATTGGATTAAATCCTACACCAGTGTCCTCATTTTGATATATTTAATCACCCTCTAAATCCAGTTGCATGTGGCAATAGGGCTTCTGTGTGTGAATTTGAGGAACTCAGTCTGCCCTAATGGTAGCCATTTGCCCTCATAATTGGCATTGTACTACTTAGTTCATCATAAAAAGTAAACTTTTTATCTTTGTATTCCAGGGGATGGAGCCCAGTGCCTTGCATGCTAAATGAGTACTCTATCCCTGAGCTATACCCTCAGTCCTACCCCTTAAAACCACTTAAATGTGGTTTTATTATCCCACCAAAAAAGATGAGAGCTGGGCTATACGAGGATGTCAGTGTACACCCCAGGAGACAGTACCTCCTTTTGCCAGACAGCGAGTCAGGGGTACCACTTCTGTTGGTGGGACAAAATACTTAACCGAAGCAACTTAGAAAAGGACTTACTTTTAGCTCATAGTCCCATGATGGTATGATTGGCTCCTTAGTGACCCCAGGAGAATGCTTGCTTATAGCTCAATGGCTCCCCAGGAAGCAGGCATTCAGGTCTGTAGTGAGGCCAGGCAGAACCCATGACCCCATATCTCCCAAACGTTCCACAGCTTCCCCAAACAAGCCTGACTCTCCGAGGACCACATGCCTAAACACATGAACCCGTGGGAGACATCCATATCCCACCAGGGCAGGCACTGTTTGGATTATGTTCATTCATATAGAAGGTGTGTGAAGCCCCTGGATCCCAGACACTGCTTGCCCCAGGTTTAAATGAGGCTGTGTGGAGTGGAGGGCAGTCAGGGTGCCTGTGGGAAGAGCCTGCTCTGACGTCTAGATCTCTGATGAACTAACCCTGCCCTCTTGCTCTCTTGTAGGCAGCCTTTCTTTATACGTTACAAGTTAAATACTTGCTCAACCAGGTAATGTGGACTTCCCCCTTTCCTTTGGGGGTGGGGCTGAGAGAACCAAGGAGATGGGTGGAGGGAACTGGCCTGCTGAGGCCACTGCACGATGCTTTGCACACAGGGCTTTGACGTGGAGAGATCTCTTAAGTGACATCGAGGAGTGAATGGAGCATTACTCTTGGCTCTGAAAATTTATATCCAGTTCCCACTTGGAAATATTGCCGTTGGCAATGCCGAGATTAGCATCTCTGTGTTTTTTGGCTCTTTCCTGGTACAGGCCTGTCTGCTCTCTGTAAAGGGTTGAGGGTCACAGTGGCTTGGCTGGGTCTAGGGCTTCCACACCTCTTCTCGGTTTGTTTGAAAGTTCTTACTTTCTGGGGACAGGGTGTAAAAGCTCAGACTGTATTGATAGCAGAGAATAGTCAAGACTCTTTGTACATGGCCATTGCCAAAGGCCCTGGGAATGATGGCCCTGACTTATTGGGAGTGGGTTTTTGAAGATGGTGTGTGATTTAGGACTGTGGGCTTTCTTCTAGAAAAGTCCAGGTGAAGGAGAAACTGGTTAGAGATCCCCTTCACACAGGCAGGCTTCTTCTAGCACATATAATAGGAATGCATGGATGAGGGATAGAAAGAGGCAGGGAGGTTTCCCACTTACTGGATACTTTATTAGCGTTAGTGTTGTATGCTTGAACTAGTTGAACACAGGTGATGGAAACAGCATTTCTAATTGGTCTCCAGGCTGTCTCTTCCCTGTCTAGACTCTTGTGTGAACCGGGTAGAATCCTCTGCATGGGACAGTGGCACCTGCTTGTCATTCTGTCTCCCAGGAGTGTGGTGACCTCTTATCTCATGGCTGCAGGGAGGAGGCCGGAGAGTGGGAACATGAAGAGTCCAATAGCTGAGGCTGAGGGAAGGACCTGGTGGTAGAGAATTGTAGCTGAGAGGAGCTGGGGGATGTGATCTGAATTATGGTGGACCAGTGTAGCTCTGGGGTCTGGGAGGGAAGTGTGCCAGGCACCAGTCACTAGGCAGGAGAACTGAGTGTGGTCAGACTGCTACAGCCGAGAAGACACAGCACACATGGCTTAAGAGGAGCAGGCTGGCTGGCCTGCTGGAGCAGTGTGCTGTCTCTACTGGGGACTGGGTTGGTAGAAAACAAACTAATTTGTGTTGCAGAGATGAAAATTATGAAAATAGTGGGATGACAATGGTCTAATAAGAAGGAAGAAGTGTCCCAAAGGAGCAGGATCCACGGTGAAGGGTGGGCTCTGGAGTCTGGGCAGTGGGCTCTGGGAGAGGCAGGAGTGCTTTAGCCTAAGCATACTGCTTGTTTGGAGGAACATGCTCCCCTGGAAGAGGGCACTAGTTACAAAGGGAGAAGAGGAAAGACAGGGAACACAGACCCACAGCAGAGGAGTGAGAGGATTTGAACCTGTGTCTTCTGGAAGAGCAGCCGATGCCTTAGCTGCTGAGCCATCTCTCCAGTCCCCTGTCTTAATGTGGGGCATGAAGTAGGGAGGGCATCCCCCCAACCCCCTGCTCCTGCTTCCCAGAGTCGGCTATGAAAGAATCCGCTCTCCATTTCAGAAAGAAATATAGTTTCACATGGCCTTTGGTCCAGCGTCTGAATTTCAGTTTTGGTGGAGAAAGTATAGTTTATCTTCAACCTCTGGCAAACCTTCCGCGGTGCTAATTCCGGACAGTCTGCACACAGCAGGGGGACCTCTGCTTTTGTTCTCTCCCTGCTGCCTTCTCACCTTCTACCCCTTGGAGGCCAGAGCTCTCTCTACTTACAGCAAAGAGGAGGACCCACAGGGGAGGGGAGAGTGGGCAGGAGAGAGGCATCCCCAGCTGACTTCCTGCTATGCCCAAGTCCTCTATTGCTTCAGCATGTAACGATGAGTGTCATGTCTGTGTCTCCTCGTTCCAGGGCATTGTTCTGCCGCAGATTGTGACTGGCATCGCAGCCAACCTTGTCAATGCCCTGGCCAACTATCTGTTTCTGTATCAGCTGCATCTAGGGGTGATGTGAGTTCAGCTTCCTGTTGGGCAGGGAATCCCGTATTAGCTTTTCCAGGGGGAAAGAGGGCAGTTTAGCTGGTGTAGGTGTGGCCTTCTTATGCCCTTTGGAAAGTGCTGTTGAAGTGAAGGGGATACTGCCCTAAACAGGAGTAACCTCAGGGCCTGTGGTGGAGGAGGGCACAGGGAGGGGTACATGGCTCCCCCGCTCACCAAGTCAGGGCGGAGAGGGTGGAGCACAGTGTCCACCCACAGCTGCTGGTCTTCCCAGGGGCTCAGCGATAGCCAACACCATCTCCCAGTTTGCCTTGGCCATCCTCCTGTTCCTCTACATCCTCTGGAGAAAACTACATCAAGCCACCTGGGGAGGTAAAGACTGCCTTTTGATTGGGCCGTGGCTTTCGCCTGAAGGCTAGACGTATTGGAAACTCATCTGCTGTCCCTGCAGGGTGGTCCTGGGACTGTCTTCATGACTGGGCCTCCTTCCTGCAGCTGGCTGTCCCCAGCATGCTCATGCTGTGCATCGAGTGGTGGGCCTATGAGATCGGCAGCTTCCTGAGTGGTGTGTATACAGAGGGGACAGCTAGTGGGAACCGGCGGGTGGGAACCGGCTGGGCTGCGGCGAGGCATCAGCTGCCTGTCTTCACCAGGTATCCTCGGCATGGTGGAGCTGGGAGCCCAGTCCATCACCTATGAATTGGCTATCATTGTGTACATGGTAAGTATTCAAGACCCTGTCGTGTGGCTGTGGTAAAGGTGTCCTGTTTTCGATCCTGAGAGTCCCACAATGAACAAAAGCCATTGGTGTTATTAAGTAATACTGTGTAAGATGGTTCCTAGACATAAAATGTCACCCTGGAGCAGGGACTGGTGATATGGACATGCAATTCCACTTGCTCAGAAGGTGAAGATGGGGAGTCACAAGTTGAAGGCTGGACTTCACGAAGGAATAAGATAATTTCTCCAAATAAAGACAGTGGGAATAGCTCAGTGGTAGAGTGTTTGCCTAGTACTCATGAGGCCCTGGGTTCGATCTCTGTCCTCTTCTCCCACAAAGTCATCTTGGATCCTGGATAGGCCCTTTATGCCTGGTATGGTCAGGTCTCTCTGTAAGCTGAAGGGGAGTGAGGTAGGCAAAACTCCCCAGAGATCTGCTTCTTCTGTTTCTGGTCCAGCTCAGACCTAAAGTGGTTGACCCTGTTCCCACAATGTCCCAGTGCAATGGCCTGGGGGTGCAGCCATATTGAATAGAGGTCTGGTCACCAAGGTCAGCTACATGCGGGTTCTATCTCTGAGCACTCTGTGCCATCCATGTATGTGCCAGCTACATGCGGGTTCTATCTCTGAACACGATGTGTATGTGTATCTCCTGGGGAGACACAGAGGAACGGGAAACAGGACAGCTTGTGTGCACACCATGTCCACAGAGGCGTTACTGGCCGTAGTTAATGGGTAGCGCTGCCTGGGTGTCTGCCCACCAGTGGAGGAATGGGTAGACCAAGAATGTTCACACTCACGGTGGAAGGTTGCTCACCCTTGAAAGTGAAGCAGACTTTGGCATGCTAGAAAATACATGGTAGAGGCTTTTCTGTCACTTTGTGTTACCAAAAGCATCAACCTAGAACTCTGAAGGGCTCTCTTTGATAGCTTGTACCGCTTCAGAAAGCTAAGAAAGGGCTAGGCTATAGTGTTATAGTAGAGTATGCCTAGTGTGGTTAAGACTCATCCCCAGCACCTCGCAAAAAAAAAAAAAAAAAGCTTTTTTTGTTTGTTTGTTTTTTTGAGAAAGGGCCATTTATAGTTTGGAGAAGGATTCAGACAACTGACATTCTACCCTCCATAGTTTATATTTAAAATATACAGGGCATACACACTTTGGTTTTTGGTTGGGTGTTTTTTTTCCCCTGAGGATCCAAGCATGCAAGGTCAATGGTCTACCTCTACCTCTTGGGGGTATATAGTTTTATTTTTACTGCCTGTGGAAGACGTTTTTTAACCTGTGCTTCATGTTTTTTATATTTTACTTATATCTCATATTTAACTACATTTATCAGTGTTTGAAGTCTATGAGCCCATTATCTCTAAGCCAGTCTTTTACTGCCCAATATTTAATCTATACTATTTTAATAAGATCAACAGCACCTCAGGATACCTCCTAGGACAAATATCTTTATGCGATTTCTGGATTTTTTTCCTGTCTGGAAAAAAACAAAAGAAACAAAAGATAAATGCTTACACTGCTGGGAGGTGGTGGCGCATGCCTTTAATCCCAGCAATTGGGAAGCAGAGGCAGGTGGATCTCTGTGAGTTCCAGGACAACCAGGGCTGTTACACATAGAAATCTTGACTGGGGGGAAATGATAAAAAGACAATTGCTTATAAGTCTCTATGTATGCTTTGTACATATCTTGTCCTCTGTTTTCTACAGGTGCATAAAAGTGCATTTATATTTCTCCCCAGTTAGAAGAAGGTTGTACTTCCTTCTCTATAGATGTGCCAACTGCCCAACTGCAAATAGGGCAGCATTTACAGGTTCCCTGGTTGTCTGCCATTACTTGTTCTAAAGATGTTTTCTGCAATTTTCCCCTCTGGCATACAGGAGACACGTCCTGTTAATGCCCTTTAATCATTAATGTCCTTTAATTGGGAACAGGGCCTTGGCCTTTCTTTCTCTTTCTTGACCATGACGTTTTCCCTCAGTGTTTCATCCTAACTAAGCTAGGACTCTCCACTTGAGGAGGGAATTCTATAAGAAATGATGTGTCCTTCTCAGGACACCATACCATGAGGCACATCACATGAGCATTAGCTTGAGGTGTGTGGTCAAGTGTTGCTGATAGCTTTCTTCATGTCACATTCTTGTCTCTCCCTTTCCATGAAGGAATTGTTGGAAAATCTGTTTGTCACTGTAGTGACGACCTTGAAGGTGGGAACACAATCTCCTGTTTCTTCTATGTTCCTTACTTTGTGTATTAGATTTTCTTTAACCCTCACCATGGTTATCCCAAGCGATTCAAGTGGTAAACATATAGAAATTAATGGAAAATCTTTACTGAATATTCACTCCGCTTGAGATACTGGTCTAAGCAGCTGGCCATGTGTATGCTGTAAAGACTCCATTACTAGAGTTTTTGTACAGATAGAATGAAACATCAGAGGTTAGCAATTGACTTAGCGTCACATGGGTAATAAATGCAGACATGTCAGGAGTTGAATCCAGACAGTTTGGCTTCAGAACCTCTACCCTACTTACAATACCTTTTCTGGTATTTTCTTTAGCAACATTTCTGCTTTGTAAATGGAATCTCTCTGTCTTTCAGAACAGACACTAGAGTGGATTCTGGTCAGCCCATCCTGCATACTGGTCCCTATATCCTAGAGGACAAACGTGATTGCGTGGGGTCCTCCCTCCCAAAACAGAGATTGGAAACCCTTTAGAAGAGCCTAATCTATTTTGAGAATCCTACCTTGGAGACAGAGGTTCCTCATTAGCCCAGGGCTTCCAGCAAGGCCGAAGAGATGTTGCAAAGAGCCTTCAGAGCCCTTGGGACATGTTTTGCCAGTGAGGCGTGAAACACCGGCTGAGTCCGTGTGTGGTGTCTCAATGTACAGTTTACTGTATTTTCTTTCATTTTAGATCCCTGCAGGCTTCAGTGTGGCTGCCAATGTCCGGGTGGGAAATGCCTTGGGTGCTGGAAACATTGAACAGGCCAAGAAGTCCTCAACAGTTTCCTTGATAGTCACAGGTGCTTATATCCCTTAGCCCGAGGCTCCTGGTGCATGCAGGCTGGGCATGGGGCAACCTTCCTCCCCACTTTCTGTGACCTCCCTTTTCACTGTGCCATTTCTCCTGATGCTTTGCCCCCAGAGCTCTTTGCTGTGACCTTCTGTGCCCTGCTGCTAGGCTGTAAGGATCTTGTGGGCTACATTTTCACTACTGACCGGTGAGTGCTGGGATTTTCTTGGCATGCAGGATCTGCAATAAACAGATTGGGTGGGCGGTGTCATCACGGGCGGCTCCCTGGGATAGCTGCATCTTGGCAAAGTGTTCTGAGTTATTTGCAAGATCAGAAACCTCACTGACTTACTTGAGGAGAACCTGATTGCTGAGCTAGAGAAACCAATTTGTAATCTGAATATCAAGTTAGTGGACAGTATGCTTTCGATAGACACGATAGTTATGAATTTTTAAAAATTGCTTTAAATTACTTTGTGTGTGTGTGTGTGTGTGAGAGAGAGAGAGACAGACAGACAGACAGACAGACAGATAGACAGACAGACAGACAGACAGACAGACAGACAGACAGAGGGAGGGAAGTCAGAGGACAACTTGCAGGAGGCAATTCTCTCCTACCTTGTGGGTTCTGAGGACTGAACTCAGGTCATCAGGCTTGTGCCATCTCATGAACCCTCATGTATTTTTCTTTTGTTTTTTTAAGTCTTTAATACCACTGTTTACATTTGCAGACAGAATTTGCATTGGCTCTTTAGTGGTAAAATTTTTGCCTGCCACATTTGCAGGTTGGCTGGACATCCTAATCCCCTAATTAAAAAAAAAAGTGCTTCAAAATCTGAAAGTATTTGAGCACCATCGCACTATAAATATGTGGTGCGTTTGTCAGTTCAGGATTAACAACAGGATGAAACAAATTAAAATAGATGAATGCTAGCCAAACGTTGGTACAGCTCTGAGAAGCATTATGGCTCAGAGCTCCCAGAAGCTTTAAGACGCCCAGCAAGGATCAGGTCTGAGCCATGGTCCAGCCCCGCACACCTCCAGAGCAGTAGCGCTATGGGGTCTTCAGTGGTCTTGACTTGTGGGCTCAAAACTATTGTGGGAACAATCAGGTCCTCATCCGAAGAGTGGAGTAGAGTCTTGGAGACTGAGGCAAGAATGAGGCCCCTGGCCGGGCGTTGGTGGTGCATGCCTTTAATCCCAGCACTTGGGAGGCAGAGGCAGGCGGATCTCTGTGAGTTCAAGGCCAGCCTGGTCTACAAGAGCTAGTTCCAGGACAGCCTCCAAAGCCACAGAGAAACCCTGTCTCAGGAAAAAAAAAAAAAAAAAATGAGGCCCCTGCCTGCAGTTCCAGGTGGAGTCCTGGAGGCAGGCTCAACTGAGCCCCTGCCAAGGAGGCCTCATGTGCTGGGGGGCCTCTGTCTCAGGTGAGTCTGTCCCAGTGAACACTGAAGGCAGTTGTCTCTTCCACCTCCAACGAATGCCGATGACCCCCGGACTCAGAAGCCCAAACGAGTAGGGTACTGGCTGTGACTGGCTGAATGTCAGTATGGAAATAGGGTCAACAATAGGGATAATTGAAGAAGAGGGGTCAAACCTGGAGAGGTGGGGAAGAACCCTGAGCCCACCAAAAGGTGTGAGAGTTCACAATCAGGGGTTCAGGCCTGTCCCCGGAGATGCTTGTTAAAACAGTCCAACCGCTGGGCATTGGTGGCGCACACCTTTAATCCCAGCACTCGGGAGGCAGAGGCAGGTGGATCTCTGTGAGTTCGAGGCCAGCCTGGTCTGCAGAGCGAGTTCCAGGACAGCCTCCAAAGCCACAGAGAAACCCTGTCTCGAAAACCAAAAAAATAAAAAATAAAAAAATAAAACAGTCCAACCACTTCTGGAGTTCCCTGGAGGACCTCTGTCTCTTTTTACTCAGCCTGGATTTTTCTTCTGCAGCTGCTGCACCATTATCAGCAGTTAGCTTTCAGGCTTGAGCCTGCTGGCTGCCAGAAGACTGCCCAGAGGGCTGCTAGAAAGCCCAGGGATGCAGGCATGCACCCCCGACGATGTGAAACAGAAATGAATTTTGTGTATAGACTTAAGTCTTCCCCCCATGGTAGTTTATAATGTCTATGCAAATATTTCGACATTATTTCAATACACCTGAGTGGAAAGCACTTTGGTCCTGGGGAGTCACCTTGGTGTCTCAGATCTGCCAAACTGCCTGGCTTTTAGAGTTTTAGGATATATTTGCCACACAGATTAAAGTTTTTTTTTAAAGAATCTTACCAGTGAGCTGTCTTAAAATTGTGGTGCAGGGCCTGGCATTGGTGGCGCACCACGCCTTTAATCCCAGCACTTGGGAGGCAGAGTCAGGCGGATCTTTGTGAATTCGAGGCCAGCCTGGTTTACAGAGCGAGTTCCAGGACAGCCTCCAAAACAATACAGAGAAACCCTGGAGGGAGGGAGGGAGGGAGGGAGGGAGGGAGGGAGGGAGGGAGGGAGGGAGGGAGGGAGGGAGGGAGGGAGAGAGAGAGAGAGAGAGAGAGAGAGAGGGAGAGGGTTTTTGTCTTCCTCAGGAAGGCTAGCACTGATATTCTTACTATATACGAATATCATAGAGACACTTGATGCTTTATCAGTAGTCACAAATTGCAAACTGGCTTTTTCTTCGTGGATTCTAAAAGCTTGGAATACATACAGCTGCCTCAGGTTCCTCCTCACCGGCTTCTCTTTTGTCTTTGGATGGGAGGCTGACATTTTCCCCGCCTCAGCCATCCAATTGCTCACTTCAGGGTGGGTGAAGAAGGCAACCATGAACAGTGCAGCTTTTCTTTCTCAAAGGGTGGCCATGGAATCAGATCGGGGTTTGAGCCAGGCCGGGAGGTATGAGGGATTTCCTGTGCCTCCCACCATACGAATCCTGTGGACGGGCGGTGTACTGTGGATTTCAGGTTGGAGGCAGAAGAAGCTGGAGGCAGCAGAGGGAGCCGTCCCGTCCCCACCCAGGAATCTGGGGTGTAAAGCCTCTGGAGACAGAACTGGAGCTATCCTCCAAGCTGTGCTTCTGAACGCTGGGGCCAGTGTGGGGTCACCCTGGGGATTCTCTTTAAAATGGCATTCAGCCAGATCGGGTGTCAAGAACCTGGGTCAGGCCTCACCCCCTGCTGGAGGAGTGGGCGGAGGAAGCCAGCGAGAAGCTAGGGCTGGGCCCCAAGAGCTAGCAAAGCCCCGACTGTCAAGCGAGAGGAAACCCGAGAGCGTCATGTTCCCAGAAGGGCAAACAACCAGCCTTGACCATTCCCAATGACAGGAGTTTAGGGCTACAGAGTCTCTTTTCCTAAGGGCCCTGTATCCTTTCTTCTGCTTCCAGGACCCCATTTTGATACCCCTGGTTATGGGAGCCTCCGTTTCACCAGGCTCAACTCTTCAGTCCCCGTCACTGCTCTGAGCTCTCCCAGGGATGGGACAGGGGGAGGGGAGGAGGTCTGGGGTGGAGCGGGGGGATAGAGCTTGGGGTGTATTCTGCCAGCAGTCGGACCAGGTTCTTTATTAACTGAGGCGGGGTTGGGAGCACAAGCGTGGGGGTTGGGAGGTTGGGAGGAGGTGGTTGGCAGAAAGTTGAAGCTCAGTGATGCTCTTGATTTTGATCCTCTATCACTTACCACCCCTTCTTAAATAAAGACACTGGGACAGTAAGAAAAAATGCATTTAGGGGCTGGAGAGATGGCTCAGCAGTGAAGAGTGCTCTTCCAGAGGCCTTGGGTTCAGTTCCCAACAGCCACATGCCAGCTCACAACCATCTTAACTCTAGTTCCAGGGAATCTATGTCCTCTTCTGGCCTCCAAGGGCATACCAGTTACACATGTGGTACACAGACATGTGCAGGCAACACCCATGCACACAAAATAACGAACAATTAAAAGTACATCTAATTATTATATGTTCATATATGTATTAGTATACCTGGATCATATGTAACCCCACTTCCCCATACCTTTAATCATTCAGAGTATATAAAAATTTGCTGTAGCACATACACGCCCTGCTATTCCCTCAGCATCTCTGTGACATGCATGTGTCCTGTCCCTCAATTCTAGTGTTTTCTCTCATGTTTGTTTTCATTTCATGTCATTTTGTTTATCAGAACCTAGGAGCAGCAGCTGCAACAGGCAGACAGATGGACAGGACAGATTCACATTCCACCCCTGCACTCCCAGTAGCAGGCTAAACCATCCAGGTTTGGGTGACCTTGTTCTCTGATGTTCTCATAGCGAAGGAATTGGATGCTAAGACATTTCTAAGAATGTATACCTGTCATTCTGTGTGCATGACCAACCCAACCTGGCAGAATAAAGGAAACAGATGAAATCCTACCTCAGCCAATCACCATGAAGAGAACACAAAGAGAGAGGTGAACCCAGTTCATCTGCTGGTGGGACACAGCCCAGGCTCTATCCCCCTTCCTTCACCCCTCCCTCTGTCCCATCTCCAGCCAAGCATGTGGTCCAAGTAGCAGTTCTATAACTCTCACCAGAAGGACATTTAAAAACAAGTTTCTTTTATTTCTTACAAGGAAATCATTTTATTTGGATTGTCTGTGTTTTCTAGGGTAAGTTTCCCAACAGATAGGCAGGCAGGCAGGCAGCAGGCACACATGCATGCACACACTTAACTCAAGTGCACTCTCACACACACCCATAATCTTTTTTTAAAATCCTAAGAGATTAGTTCTCACAATCTCTTTTTGTAAGGAAAATTAAAACCTAGAAGAACAAAGCCAGGCATAGTAGCACATGCCTACAATTCCCCCACTCAGGATACTGAGGCAGGAGGATAACAGGCTTGAGGTCAGCCTGGGCTACATAGTGAGGTCTGGTGTCAATAAATAGAACAAAACAAGACAGCACAAACAACAGAAGAAGAAATAATTCTCCAGAAACATAGTTGATCAAAATCTACCCCAGGAAAGACTGAAGATCTAAATCAAGTGTTTTTTTTTTTTTAATAAGAAGCAAGGGAAACCTGTTTTAAAATCTACCCCTATCACTGATTCCAGAAGATTCCAAAGGAGAAAGTTTTCAAATCATTAAAATATAGATCAGTCTAATGATTTTTGTTTGTTTGTTTGTTTGGTTGGTTGGTTTTTTGAGACAGGGTTTCTCTGTGGCTTTGGAGGCTGTCCTGGAACTAGCTCTTGTAGACCAGGCTCGTCTTGAACTCACAAAGATCCGCCTGCCTCTGCCTCCCAAGTGCTGGGATTAAAGGCGTGCGCCACCAATGCCCGGCCATTCTAATGATGTTTAATCTTTCAAAGTATAGAAAAGGAAACAGTATTTCTTGTGTAGCAAATGTGTCCGCAGAGCACCCAAATTTGACAGTTTACACACACACACACACACACACACACACACACAGAGACAGAGAGACAGAGGGAGAGAGAGAGACAGAGACAGAGAGACAGAGGGAGAGAGAGAGACAGACAGAGACAGAGACAGAGACAGAGACAGAGACAGAGACAGAGAGAGAACCAGACTACTCCCAGTCACCAAAACTGATCTAAAAGTCCCAAATAGGGCAAAGATACAGTTCAGTGCTTCCTAAACTTGAAGCCCTGGTTTGACCTTTGACCCTTAGTCCTGCAAAAATGAGTTACTTATCTATTTAAAAGTCCAAGGTAAGACCTGGGTGTGCGGCTCAGTGGGAGAGCATGTATGTAGTATGTACATAGAAGGTCTTGCTTCAGTCTGTGCTTCGCCACTCCCCCTGACCCCAAGGTAGGAAAGAAAGAAAATAAAATAAAACTCAAGATGACATTTTAGTAGACAGGATTGACCAGCACCACACTGAAAGTTATCTCAGCGGACTAGAAGAGAGAATGTCATCTATAGACAGAAAAAGTCTGAGCTGGCGTCGGAGAGGGGGCATGTGTGCAGTGCAACAGGAATCTTGTCATTCCCATTTGTATTCGCTTCTATTTTCATGAGCATCGGACAAACACAGGAGTGGTAAGAATTGTCATCTGTGGGGACAGGACAGGCATGGTGTGGCCCGAGAGACAGTGGTCATCAGACTTGTTTGCATATACTTTCCATCCAGAGTTTTAACAACTGTATTCCTGTGCTGGGTTGAGGTAGGAAAGAGACCATCTGGTGCCAGGCTGGATTCTTTATTCATTCATTCAGCGAATATCCATTGCCAGAGGTTTTTTTTTTTCCAGTCATTGTGTCTCCTGGTAGCATTTACCTTCTTTCCCTTTATGTGTAGGCATTAAAACCCAAATCTGTAGTGTTAAGGGTGGAGCCCATTTCTAGAAGTGAGAACCCTGTGACACTTGGTTGGCTGGGAAGAGCACAGGGCTTCATGCATGCTAGGCAGATGTTCTGCCACTGAGCCATACTCCATGCACGCTCACTCTGTAATGCATCCCTCAGACAGCTCTTGGGATGTGCATTCAAGATCTGCCTCGGAAATTGGGTTAAAAGGAGAGTGGCAATGTGATCTAAGCTTTGTTTTTGGTGGGTAGATGGATTTCATCGACTAAATGGATTGCGTGGGTTCCCCCCCCCCCAAAAGCTATGGATTACATTAGAAAATTGGCTTCTATGTCACACAATGGTAGACTTGTCCCCACTTGGGACTGCTGTCGGCTGTGAATACACCAGGTCAGCTGGACAAGGAGCCCAAGCCTTGTTCAGCTAGGGTACATGTGGGATCCATGCCCTTCGATTCATTTTTTACGCCTATGGATGTTTTCCTGCATGTGTGTCTGTGTGCCACGTACATGTGTGGTGCCCATGGAAGCCAGAAGAAGTTCTTGGACCTACTGGAACTGGAGTCAGAGGCAGTTGGGAGCTGCCTTGTGGATGCTGGGAATTGAACCGGGATCCTCTGCAAGAACAAGTGCTCTCGGCCACTGAGCCATTTCTTTGGCCCCTCCTTTCTTACTGATTACCATGTGCTCTATTTTCCCAACAGAGACATCGTGGACTTGGTGTCTCAAGTCATCCCCATTTATGCTGTGTCCCACCTCTTTGAAAGTCTTGCTGTGAGTATCGAGTCTGATTTCCCCACACACTTCCATGTCTGCATAAGTGATTTCTTCTGATTATGCTAAATTTCAAGTGGGAAGAGGGCCTAGCATGGTTTAGGGGGCACTGTCAATTCTTACCACGGCCTCTTCTGCAAAACTTTATCACAGAGGAGGTCTGAGGTCCACAGAGAGGCTTTCTATGCCTGGGAGGCGGGGTCTTTAGAAGCACCAGCTGTGTTCCCACTGATAGATGTCACCTACCCGCAGTGTACCTGTGGTGGTGTTCTGAGGGGCACTGGAAACCAGAAGGTTGGAGCCATCGTTAATGCTATCGGATATTACGTGATTGGCCTCCCCATCGGGATTGCACTGATGTTTGCAGCCAAGCTGGGAGTGATAGGTAAGTCCTCCAACTGTGGGAAGACAGCCCTGCTGTCCACAGGCCCAGCACATGGAAACCTCGCTCCTCTGCCCTGACTTTCCCCACACTCCTGTACCTTGCCAGAGCGAGTGTGCAGGCGGTGGGTGAAAAGCGACCTTGAGCCCAGAACTTCGTGGTCACTCCCCTCTTGCCCATGTGTTAGCACTGGAGCAAAGTAAGGGGTCCTTTCTATTCTCCTCATTCTAAATCAGCCAGCCTTAGTCATGGGACTTGATGACCAGGACTTCCGAAGCACTGGAAACATGTTGTTTGTAGATCTTGCCCTGTTCCTTCTGCAGCCTCTGTTCCCCACTTGTGGTTACCCATGTGCAGAGGAACACCTGGAAGGAATGTAGAGCAAAGGACTGTGGGACAGACTCCTCTGTATGACCTTGCTGTGTTTTTTGAGCAAGGAATTGAACCCACATGCTCCAAAATTACCAGAGTTCATTTTTTTAAAGTAGGGAAATAGATAACTATGTAGCTTTGGTTTCTAAAATAATAATTGAGAATGATTGGCAATGAATAAATGGTTATGTGAAAACCTGGCTGTTGTCTTTGGGGTGAAGTAGTGACTGACTTAGGCATGGTTTGTTTGCATCCATCAGTATGTGGTGGGCTCGAAGGTGCTCAGGAGTCATCCGATAGCTCCCGAGGACTTCCAGTCCCATGTATTTAACTGTGTTACTCCGTTTTCTCAAGTTTGATAATATTTTAATTAAAAATATTGGAGTTGTTCAAAGAAGGAGGGTGCCAGAGGGCTATGGCCATAAAGGCTCAGACGATATCTGGCTGAGTTTCTGGCACTGTTCATGCTTGCATCTGCAGACGGCAAAGCCAATGGAAACACCAGAGGAGTCTGGTTTTTGGAATAGTATTTTTATTTAACATAACATTTCCAAAATAATATTATTGTAACATGTAATCAGTACAAAATACTAAGGAGACACTTTATAGCCTCTTTTAAATGTTATTAATATTATTTTAATTGATAAAAACAATTATGAACATGTATGGAGCACAAAGTCCTGTTTTGATGTGTGTAGACAATGTGGACTCTTTAGGCCAAGGTAATTAGGTTATTCGTCTCCCTGTGATGTTATCATTTTATACAGTGAATGATACATCTGAAATGTACTCTTTTTCTTTTTTAAACAGTTTTATTCTGTAATTTTGGATAGGCTGGAACTCATTATGTAGACCAGGCTGGCCTAGAACTCACAGAGATCCATCTGCCTCTGCTTCCTGAGTGCAGGGGTTCAAGGCACACACCAGCATGATGTCCAACTATGTCCAACTTTGCTGTTGTTCTCTCTCTCTCTCTCTCTCTCTCTCTCTCTCTCTCTCTCTCTCTCTCTCTCTCTCTCTCTCTCTCTCTCTCTCTCTCTCTCTCTCTCAGGCCAGGCTGGCCTTGAACTCACCGAGATCCACCTGCCTCTGCATCCCAAGTGCTGGGATTAAAGGTGTGTGCCACCATCACCCAACTTCTTGTTTTTATTTTAGAAAGAGCTTTCCTAAGTAGTTAAAATATGTCTTGAATGTGGGATCCTCCTGCCTAATCTCCCAAGTGCTGGGATTACAGGTATGTGTCCTCATTGTCTGGCTGAGCTAAAATTTTAGAAAGGAATCTATTTTAAATATAGGTACATCTATATGCCAAGGTCTGTATTTGGCCTTCTAAACTCATTTAATGAAGTGTATCTGTTGTGTGCACAGTAGAGGAGCTGGGGATTCTTGGAAGGAAATGGCGGGGCCCCTGGGAAGGCATGGGCTGTGGGAAAGCATGTACTTGGTCCTTCTAATGGCTTCTTAGATAGAAGTATAGTACAGGTCAGTTTCACCTTTCATGTTGCTACCATTAGGGTGTGCAGCGTGTACATCAGGTTCTCAGAAGCACTCCAGAAGGCTATAGACTCTAATACACAGACTGACTAATCAGAACGGTTACCAGTTTGCCACAGGGGATTTTTCAAGCACACAATTTCCTGGCCCTTCCCAGATGATTCTGGTAACCACCCCAGTATCTTTTAATAGATATTATGACATTAGTGTAAATCAAGTTCATAACTCAAATTACAGCTAGAATTAGCTGGGCATTTCTGTCAAAAATCTTTGAAATGGGCTTATAGTTTCTGTATGGGAACTAGGCGTTTGAAGGAGGAAGTCAGAGGCCTTTCTTACTCCATCCTGGGACAGGTAGGTGTGTCCAATGCCATCTGTATTAACCCCATGTTGAGGGGCCATATGTCACGGATTGGTGTTTGCAGGGCTGCGATTAGGGCCAGCTGAACAGTACCGGGTCCATTCCTGAGTGGGGGAGTGTGGCTGAGGGAAGGCTAGATATCTGTGTTAAAGAGGAGACATCAGATCATATCTGGAGGGCAGTATCAGTTAATACTGAATGCTCACCTCAGTTTAGTGATCCCCCATCTTAAGTAACCAACCAAAGGTGTGGACAATGACAGAAGACTTCTATTATCATGTATGAAGGGCAGACAGCAATTACTCCCCTTAATCCTAGAGACACTCCAGGCGCTCCATAGCTGGATGTATCATCTAGCCTTTAGGGTGAGTATAAACTCATCTGGGCCTAGATCTATTGTTATTTAGATGGGAGCCATTCACCACTGAGACTAGGGCATCCTACAGCCATTAGCTGATATCTTAAAAACAACAGGAATGACTTGAGCTCTTGGAACTCCTGGCAGGCTGGAATAGATTTCCAATATACTGGCCCTGACAATTCCCCCTTCTGAAATTAATAAAGTAATACCTGTGCTTCTGCAACAGGACAGACGGCTGTGCCTGTCTTAGGTTGCCTACTTCAAACTATCTGTGCTTACCCATCCTTGGACTACACATTCTGTCATGTGTGACCTGCCTTAGGTTTCCTGGAGGCAAGAAGGTCTTACCTATCTTTGGCTATCAGCCTCTGTAACAAAGAACATTAAGGGGTGGAGCATAGCTCGATGCCACACACCCCTAAGCCAATTTTTCAACAAGAGCTCACAAGCAAGGTTGGTAATGCCAAGCAACATTTGCGCTTTTATGGCTGCACCAATTTTCAAAAGGAGAGAGGATGAACCAATTTAAAATGCCCTTTTGAAACGGGTGTGGGAATGTGTCAAGTGCCTTTGGCTATATCAAAGTCTAAATATGCCTTTCTAATCACATTGTACCAAAAGACTCATAAGCATCAAATTCCTGTCAGAATGAGCTCTGGCCACTTATATCCATATACACTTATATAGCACAGCAAAGGTTACAAACATCATTAATTCCAGTATGATTAGTAACACTAGACATACAAGCCAATTAGGATACAATTCTCATAATTTCACTTCAACCAAAGGACAATAAATTGTTCTCATGATGGGTGGAGTATGAATAATTCCATAATTCGGAACTTTTTTCTTTTCCCTGTCTAAAGTCCAATGCTGTGCTGCTTGTAAAGTTAAAAAAATAGGTTTGAGATATCGCAGTCCTTGAATATTAACTGCAAGACTTTTTGACCATGTCCTGTTCAAATACTGAGGAGAGGCTTTGGCCACACATCAGGTTCATAATAGTGTACCATTGTTTTGAATGGGTCCTTTCTCCCCAGAGGGAAAAAACTGGCAAAATGAGTTCTGTGTTTCAAGATGTTGTGTGGAAAACTGCTAGTCGTCCAGTCCTTGGTCAGCTCCCGGATGAGAACTCACAGGTCTGGAAAGTCGATGTAGCAGGCTTGTTGAGAAACTGGCAGTCTCTAACCGACTAACAGTCTCCTTTCCTTCTGGGACTGTAGAATCGATGACATCAGGGGGTCAGGAACACGGGTTCAGCAGGTCTCACTCGAACTGGCTTAGGCAGGCTCCTGTGGACTCAAGTCCAGTTTTCCTCTGCTCCACAAATTTCACCAATCGGTCTGGCAGCCATCCAGCCTCATTTTCTCCCTGCGAGAAAACACAAACAATCCCTTGACCCCATATTAGGACAGGATTGGGTCCTTTTCTTTGTCTGGTGCATGGATCTTTCCACTTGAATGAAAGTCGCTCGAGTTCTATCATGCCAGAATCTGTCTGCGGCAGATTGCTCACTGGCATTCACATTCAAAAAATTTCAAACGAAGAGTGCATGATTTAATGCATCATGTGGAGACTGGGAGCACAATTTCCTTCTTTTTATTGTTTTGAAGTTGTGTTTTTAAGGAACTATGAGCACACTCCACAATTCCTTGCCCTTGAGGATGATAAGGAATGCCTGTTTTGTGATCAATTTTCCATTGAGCATAGAATTGCTGAAATGCTTTACTAGTATATCTAGATCCATTGTCTATTTTTATCACTTTGGAACTCCCATGTAAGCAAACCATTTTAAGCAGTGACTTATCACATGCTTAGTGGCTTCTCCAGTTTGTGCAGTGGCCACTAAGAAGCCTGAATACATATCAACTGCCACATGCACATATTTTAACTTGCCAAATTCTGTAATATGAGTAATATCCATTTGCCATAAATGATTAGGAAGCAGGCCTTGAGGATTTACTCCTAAATTAGTTAGTTATAGGTAAATATTGTGGGCACACATCATACTGTTTGACAATTTGACGAGCAGTCTCTGTAGTTAAACCAAATTGCTTTCTTAGACTTCTGCTATTCTGATGATGAAAGTTATACGACTAATGAGCTATTTCTACCTGGGATAAAGCAAGCAATTTTGTTAATCTATCTGCTGACTCGTTCCCATCAGCCAGTGGGCTGGGAAGGTTTGAATGAGCTCTTATGTGACCCACAAAGCATGGCAATTTCCTTAGATGAATTGCATTTTGAATTTGCTCAAATAGTATTCTAACTGGATCATTACTAGTTCCAATGCATGGAACATCTCTATCACTTGAAGAGCTTTAAAAACATAATGACTATCAGTACACAAATTAAATGAATCATTTACTAGGAACTGAAAGACTATTGCAACAGCTCATAACTCAGCTGTCTGAG